CTGATCCCGGTCCCTCTGATCCCGGTGCCGGTTCCGGTGCCGGTTCCGGTGCCCCGCTCACCGCCACGCCGTAGTGCCCGGGGGGGGCGATGTAGGTGACGGTGCCGCGGCTGCGGGGCGGGACCATCAGCCGGTGCTGCAGCAGCGAGTTCTCCGCCACCGTCCCGTAAATGTCCCCTCCCGTTACGTGGCTCCCGACCTGGGGACACGGCGGTGACACCGTCAGCCACCCCCGGGGGGGGCTCTGCGTCCCGCGCCCCCGGTGCGGGGACAACGGCGGTGTCCCCGTGTCACCTGTGTCCCCACGTCCCTGCGACCTTCGTATCCTCATGTCCCTGCATCCCCATTTCCCTGTGTCCCCCAGTGTCCCCGCGACCCCGTGTCCCCATATCCTGTGTCCCGATGTCCCTGCGACCCCCGTGTTCCCGTGTCCCGATGTCCCCGTGTCCCCCCATGTCCCCAGGGCTCTGTGACTCCCGTGTCCCCGAGTCCCTGATGTCTCTACATCCTCTGTGCCACCGTGTCCCCACCCCCTTTTTGGGGTCCCCTCCTTGGCAGGGGGGACAGGCGAGGACAGAACGAGGGGACAATGGAGGATGGTGTCCCTTGGTAGGGACGGGACGGGACTGGAGGGGACAAAGGGGGACAAAGGGGGACAGAGCAGGATGGGGGGGCAGGGAGGGACAAAGGGATTGGGAGGGACAAGACAGGGGACAACCGGAGAGGAGTGACAAGAAGGGGACAGAAGGGCTGGGGGGACAGGAAGGACAGGGAAAGGACAGGGTGACAGAATGGGGGAGCAGGAAGGGGACAAGGAATGGATGGGGGACAGGACAGGGGGACAAAGAGGAGCAGGACACGGGGACAGGGAAGGGACAGGGAGAGGACAGAGGGGACGGGAGAACAGATGGGAAAGGGGGGACAGGACGGGGATGGGACAAAGGGACAGGACAGAGGTGACAGGGAGGTGACACGCACCCGGATGTTCTTGCTGGGGGTGAAGTCCCAGGCCAGGTGTCGCGGCAGCGCGGGGACATTGGTGCCCCGCGGGATGTAGATGCTGCGCGTGGCCTCGGCGATGTCGCGCAGCGGCCGCTGGATCCCATCGAAGATGGAGCCCAGGATGCCCGGACCGAGCTCCACCGAGAGCGGCTTCCCCGTGCGCAGAACCGGGTCCCCAACCTGAACCCCCGCTGAGGCCGCTCAGGAAATGTCACCGCGGGTGGGGACACGGGGACAACGGGGACGGGATGGGCTGTGGGGGACAGGGGGGAACGGGAAAGGGACAGGACACAGGGGACAGGGCGGGATGGGGACACAGGGAGGGGACAGAGGGCACAGGACATGAGGGTTGATGGGGGGACAGGACAGTACGGGGGGGACAGGGAGGGGACAGGACAGAGGGGACAGGGCAGGGCAGAAGGGAGGGACAAGGGAGGGGACAGGGCGAGGCGGTCGGAGGGACACAAGGGTGGCGGGGAGAGCCCCGCGGGGACAGCGGGGACAGCGGGGACAGGATACAGGTCTCCTCGTACACCTGGAGCGTGGCCATGTCCCCCTCGAGCCGGATGATCTCCCCCACGAGCTCCGCGTGCCCCACCCGCACCAGCTCGTACATGGCCGCCCCCGCCATGCGCGTGGCTGTCACCACTGCGGGGACACGTCGTTGTCACCCCGGCATCCCCCCTTGTCCCCAGCCCAGCCCCGGGGTCACCACCCCACCTGGGACCCCTCTGTCCCCATCCCTGTCCCCTCCCCATGACCATCCCCGGGTACTTTCCCAAGCTGTCCCCTCCTGTCCCCAACCCTGTCCCCGGGTCCTCGGACCCTCCTGTCCCCTCCCCGGCTGTCCCCTCTTCATTGTCCCCTCTCCTGTCCCCATTTTAGCGCCACAAACGCCACCGGAGTCCCCATTCCGGTTGTCCCCGTCCCCAGGCTGTCCCCAGGGATGTCCCCACGATGTCCCCTTCCGTTCCCAACCCTGTCCCCTCCCCGGGTGTCCTCCCACCCCACTGTTCCCTCTCCTGTCCCCATTTTAACACCACAAACTCCATCGGGGTCCCCCTCCCCGGCTGTCCCTCTGTCCCCAGGTGTCCCCAGGTGTCCCCAGGTGTCGCCGTACCGGGCCCGGACACTCCATGCACAGCCCCCACCAGGCTCTCGCGCTCCTCCTGCCGTGTCCCTTCCATGGTGTCCCCTCCCCTCCGCGGTGGCACCGCCGTTAAATGGCCCCGAGCGCCGGTGACAACCGGACAGGGCCACCCCAGGTGTGGCACCGTGCGCAGCCAACACCGTGTCCCCACCCCCAGGGACACCGCGGGGACACCGCGGGGACAGGGGGGGGTGACACCGGCCAGCTCCGGTGACAGGGCCAGCGCGGGTGTGGCACTGTGTGCAGTCAACAGCTCCTCTGGGTGACACCGGGTGACACCGGCACGCGCCGAGCTGGCCCGGCCCGGGTGTCCTTGTCACCTCCCTGCCGCGTCCTTGTCACCCCAACAAGTCCTTGCCACTCTCTTTTGTCACCCCCCATGCCCTTGTCACCCCCTTCTTTTGTCCCTTCCCCTGTCCTTTGTCACCTCCCTGCCGTGTCCTTGTCACCTCCTTTTGTCACCTCACAGTGTCCTCTCCCCCCGGGGTGTCACCGACACAGTTTGGGGGTCCCCCAGCTCCCACATTTTGGGGTTTTACCCCACTATTTTCAAGCCCCCCCCCTCCTCAATTTAGGGTCCTCTCCCATTTTTGGGGGTTACCTCTCCCCATTTTGGGGTTCTACCCCCAATTTTAGGGTCTCACCCGCCATTTTGAGGTCCCACCTCCCATTTTGGGGTCCCCCTCAGAACCCCCTCATTTGGGGTTCTCTCCTCATTCCCCCCACTCCCCCTAAACCCTTTTCCCCATTTCCCATAAAAACCAACACCGGGCTTTGTCCCAAAACTCCCATTTATTGCCCCAAAACCCTCTGGAACAAACCCCAAAATCCCCCTGAAAATTTGGGGGGGGGGGAGAGGGGGTTCAGGACACCAGGACCCCCCCAAAATGAACCCCAAATCCCTGGGAATTGTTGGGGAGAGGGGGTCAGGACACCAAAACGAACCCAAAATCCCTGTGGGAATTGTGGGGAGGGGTCAGAACACCAGGATCCCCCCCAAATGAACCCAAAATCCCTGTGGGAATTGTGGGGAGGGGTCAGAACACCAAGACCCCTCCCCAAAACGAACCCAAAATCCCTGGGAATTGTGGGGGAGGGATCAGGACACCAAGACCCCTCCCCAAAACGAACCCAAAATCTCTGTGGGAATTGTTGGGGAGGGGTCAGGACACCAAGACCCCTCCCCAAAACGAACCCAAATCCCCTGGGAATTGTAAGGGGGGGGATCAAGACACCAAGACCCCTCCCCAAAACGAACCCAAAATCTCTGTGGGAATTGTGGGGAAGGGTCAGGACACCAAGACCCCCCCGGGGCCCCCCTTGCCCCCCTCGGGCCCCTCCCGGGCCGGGGCTTTGGGCTCCTCCTCCCCCAGCAGTCGGATGTTGTGACGTTCCCGGAATTCCGAGAGCTCCCGGCCCTTGGCCTG